CATTCTACTTTCTGTCTGTATGAATTCAATGACTCTTATAAGCGGAATCATATAAGTATTTGCTTTTTTATGACTTTTTAAATTTCATTTAATTTTATAAAAAATATTTTTATATTTATTTCAGAGAGGAAAGAAAATGGAGAGAGATAGAAACATCAATGATGAGAGAGAACCATTGATCGGTTGCCTCCTGCACACCCCCCACCAGGGATCGAGCCCACAACCCAGGCATGTACCCTGACGGGGAATTGAATTCTGACCGCCTGGTTCATAGGTCAACACTCAACCACTGAACCATGCTGACCAGGCTTTTTGTGATTTTCAAAAAATTTTATTTTTTAATATGTTTTTATTGAAGAAGGGAGACGGATAGAGAGATAGAAACATTGGTGTGAGAGAAACATCATTGATCAACCGTCTCCTGCACAACCCCTACTGGGGATCGAGTTCACATCTCAGTCATGTGCCTTGATCAGGAATTGAACCCATGGCCTCCTGGTTATGGGTCAACGCTCAACCACGAAGCCAGACAAGCCAGGCTCTTTGTGACTTTTTAAATTTCACTTAGAATAATGTTCTCAAGTTTCATTAATGTAGGATGTGTCAGAATTTTCCTCCTTTTTAAAAGGCTGAGTAATTTCCATTGTATGGATAAACCATATTTCTTTATCCATTCATCTATCCATGGACACCTGGGTTGCTTCCACTTCTTGGCTATTGTGAATAATTCTGCAGTGAACATGGGGGTGCAGATATCTCTTCAATATCCTGATTTTGGTTCAATATATACCTAGAAGTGGGATTCCTGGGTCATATGGTAAAATCTTTAATTTTCTGAGGAACCAGAATACTCTTTTCCATAGTGGCGGTACCATCTTATATTCCTCACCAACATTTATTTCCTGGTTCTTTTTGTTTGTTTGTTTTAATAGTGGACATCTTAATGGATGTGAGGTGATTGTGGTATTGATTTACATTTCTCTGATGATTAGTGATGTTGAACATCTTTTCATATACTTGTTGGCCATTGTATATCTTCTTTGGAGAAATACCTATTTAAGTCTTTGCCAATTTTTAAATTAGATTATTTATGTTGTTGAGTTACAGGCATTCTTTATATATTCTGGATATTAACCTATTCAGATATATGATTTGAAAATATTTTCTTCCATTCTGTAGGTTGCCTTTCAATCTGTTGATCGTGCCCTTTGATGTGCACAAGTTTCTTTTCTCTGCTTTGTTATCGCACCTCCTGCTTCTGATCTCTGCCCTCCATCACTGCTGCTGGTTACCAGTAAGTTACATTTCCTCTATAGACTGATCATAAAGAAAGAAAATTCAAATTTTTTTAAAAAAATTTTATGTCCAGACTTTATAGTTTCTTTTAGTAATTCCATTCATTCATTCATTCATTCATTCATTCATTCATTTCATTTCATTCAACAAGCCGGTGGATATAAGCATCTTTGTTGAGCTATATTCTGTGACAGATGCTGTGAATGCAAAGCCAACAAGTGATGTTTGTCACAGACTCACTGCAGCCCTTCTCCTCCGTGATGCTTTCCTGACTGGCCCTGGATGCTTGGGTGGTCCTGCTTCCAACTTCCTATAACTTGAAATGTTCCTCCAGTATTGCAGTCATCATGCTTTGAATTATTTGTACATCTCCCTTGCCCATGACAGTAAATTGCTTTTTTTCACATCTTATTCATCTTTGTACACTGCAGTGGAAGTTGCTACATCTCTTTAGGTAGCTGCTGGATGGATGCATGTGTGAGCCATGCCAGGCTGCCCACCACTTAGCCACAGGTCTCCCCAGTGCCCAGCCTTCCTGAGCAGCACCTCCCTTTCTGCTGCAAGACCCAGGGCCTCACCTTGCTCTCTTCTTTTTAGGGTTGTAATTGCTCATTCTGCTGTTGGAACATTGCTCCCCTTAGATTCTCTTTAAAGTGATCCATAGCCACTTTTCGTTACTTCCCAAGACAGGCCTGCAGGTGACTATTAATTACCTGGGAAATATGCTGGGGCCCTTTCTTGAGATGGTAAGTAGAAAGTACCATAAGCCTGGCTTATATATTTTTGTGGAAATTAAATATTCCTCCATATTTCAGCTCTTTCTTGGTTTCTCCCATCCCCTATTATTGAGTCCTCATTTCATGGGGTTACATAGGCTCTCTGGCTAAAGGGAAAAATAGATAGGTACAATTAATTGTGGGGGGTGTAAAATACTACAGATCAATAGTATTTATTGGGGGGGGCTCAAATGGGGAGCTGCTAACCCAAAGTGGACTGAGGCTTCAGGGTGGGCAAGGCCTGCTGGAAAAAAAAAAAAAACCATTGGATTTCAGTCAAGAAAGGTGCAAGTAGGTTATCTAGAATGAGTGGGGAGAGGTGGGGGTGGAGGGGTCGGGGAGAAATGAATTAAAGAGGCAGAGCTGGGGAGCAAAGGGGTTCTTTTCAGAGGAAAAAGTATTATCTAAAGCAGTGGTTCTCAAAGTGTAGTCCCCAGACCAGCTGCATTGGCATCATCTGGGAGCTTGTCAGAAATTCAGGTTCTCAGGTTCCATCTGAGACCTACTTACTCAAAAACTCTGGGGGTGGGCTTAGTCTTCTAGGTGATGCTGGTGCTTAAGTATGAGCACTACTGGTTAAAGGTATGGGGAGGTCAGAGTGCTGCGTTCTGTGTACCTCATTCTCTAGAGCTGAAGGCAGGTGTTGGGTAGGGAGTGATGAGAAGATGCAAGCTATTGCATAAAAAAGAGGGATAGGAGTAGTGCCATGCTAGTTGAACATGTATTTTATGAGATTAGAATGCAAAAATAAATAATTGTAGTTTTAGATGATTGAAAATGAAAACACAACACACCAAAACTAAACAGATGCAGCTCAAGCAGTACTTAGAGGAAATTTATAGTAGTAAACACCTGTATTAAAAAAGAAAGATCTCAAATCAATGACCTAAATTTCCATCTTAAGACATTGGAAGAAGAGAAAACTAAACTTAAAGCAAACACAAGGAAAGAAATAAAGATTAGAGAGGAAATTAATGAAATAGAGACCAGAAAACAATATAGAGAATCCACAAAACCAAAAAGTTGGTTCTTTGAAAAGATCAACAAAATTGACAAACCTAACTAAACTGACCAAGAAAAAAAGGAGAAAAGACTCGAGTTACCAAAATTAGAAATGAAAGAGGGACAGTACTGTGGACCTTACAGAAATAAAAGGATCATAAGGGAATACTATGAACAGTGGTGGATTAGTCAGCTCAGGCTGCCATAGCAAAAAACCACAGATTGGGAGACTTAAACAACAGACATTAATTTCTCACACTCTGGAGGCTGGCAGTCCAAGATTAAGGTGCTAGCAGGGTTGGTTTCTCCTGAGGCTTCTCTCCTTGGCTTGCAGATAGTCATCTTCTATCTATGCCCCTAAAAGGTTTTCCTCTATTCATGGACATTCTTAGTGACTCTCTGTGTGTTTTAATTTCATCTTTTTATAAAGGCTCCAGTCAGGTTGATTAGGACCCATCCCAATCGTCTCACTTTAACTTAATCACTTCTATAAAGACCTTATCTCTAGATATAGTCATATGCTGAAGTACTAGGGGTTAGGGCTTCAACATTTGAATGTGGGGGTGGTGAGGGGGACACAATTCAGTCCATAACAAATTGTATGCCAACAAGTTAGATAACATGGATGATGTGGAGAGATTCTTAAAAAGGCACAAACTTCCAAAACTGACTTAAAAACAGAAAATATGAATAGATCTATAATAAATGAAGAGATTGAAATAGTAATTAAAAACCTTAACATAGGAAAGCCCAGGCCCAGATGTCTTCACAGGTGAATTTGACCCAAGGCCCTTATATGCCGCCAAAGACCAATTACATGGTTCTTCATAAATTCTTCCAAAAATTAGAAAAGGAGAGAATATTTCTCAACTCATCCTAGTATTGCCTTTATATCAAATCCAGACAAATACATTGATCACAAGAAAAAGGACGCTTATGAACACAGACACAAAAATCCTCAACAAAATACTAGAAAACCAAATCTAGCATCATATAAAAAAGATTATGCACCATGAGCAAGTGGGATTTATCCCAGGAATGCATGGTTGGTTTCACATTTGAAAATCAACATACTACCCCATTTTGATGGAATTAAGAAAAAAAAGCCTGTATAATTATTGCAATAGATGCTGAAAAAGTATTTGATAAAATCCAGCACCCTTTCACTAGAAATAGAAGGGAACACCCTCGACCTGATGAAGGTTCTCTACACAAATCCACACTAACATCATCTTTAACTGTGAAAGACAAAGCTTCCACTCCAAGACCAGGAACCAAGCTTGGATATTTGCTCTCATCGCTTCTGTTCAATATTGTGCTAGAAGTTCAAGCCAGGGCAACCAGGCAAGAAAAAGAAATAAAAGCATTCAGATTAGAAAGAAAGAAGCAAAGCTATCTCTATTTGCAGATGACATGGTTTTGAATGTGGGAAATCCTGAGGAATCCATTAAAATTGAGTCACTAAAACCTGGTCCTTACTTTCAAGGCACTTCCAAGCAAGAAGGGGGACAGTGTAAATGAGTGTAGATGTGTGAGTACTGTGGGAGAAGTGTTTCCCAGAGAAGTACATACTTCATCTGAGTTCATGTAAAGTATGTAGGTGTCTAAACAGGAGATTGTAGGATGAACAATTGGGGTGGAGAGCAAAGGTAGGTATTTCAAGCACAGAAGAATATATGCAAGGAGACTCAGTGTGATGAAGCAGGGTCAATAATGAGCTGTGAGTGTGTCTGGGGAGTTGGATTTGTGAGGCAGTGTGGGAGATAGGTCAAGGAGGTGAACAAGGCCCTTATATGCCTCCAAAGACCAATCACATGATCGTGTCCAGTGTCTGGGTTTCGTCAAGGGTCTCTGGACTTGTACTTGTGTTCATCTCATTTGGATAGAAGTGGTGTGATCTCAGCACCAGGTCTGTCTCTTTTCTAGGTTTCTGGGTAGAGCGCACCCCTGTGCACGAGGCTGCCCATCGTGGTGAGGCCTTGGAGCTGCAGCAGCTGATCGAGAGCGGCGCCTGTGTCAACCAGGTCACAGTGGACTCCATCACGCCCCTGCACACAGCCAGTCTGCAGGGCCAGGCACAGTGTGTGCAGCTGCTGCTGGCTGCCGGGGCCCAGGTGAGCAGCGCTTTAGGACACCCATGGAGCCTGGCTATGGCTATGGGCATAGAAGGGACCAGTTCAAGGGATGTATAGAGGGAGGAAAATACAGGGTTTGGGATTTGCATCCTGTGATTTGCAAATGCACTGGAAGTAAAGAAACCACTGCAGAAGACTGAGCAGGAAAGGAAGGAGGAAACCAGAATGGGGTGTGGTGGGAGCCCAGGGAGGGGAGAGGAAGTCTCTGTGTCAACTGCACACTCGGACCAGTAAGTATGGTTATGGGCTTCGCTGTTAGGGGGTTACTAGTGGCTGAAGAGAAGGCAGTTTTAGCAAAATGGTGGAGGGTGTGCCCTGCTCTGCACTAGGAAGGGGACAGGCTGTCTGGAGGGCTGGCAGGGCCTTGGCTCAAGAGCTGCTGTTTGGGCTCAGAGAGCAGGATGACTATGTGGGGGATGCTGGCACACTTCCCTGGTAAAAAGGAAAAAAACAAGATTCTGATCTGATTTGCTGCTATCCCTGGTGTAAGTACTCATGCCACACTGATTTCAGCCTCCAGTGCTTTCTGGCTGGTGGAATTGCTGGATGTTTCATAGTGGCTGGGTGAGCTGGGCCGGACACCATTGGGCTGAATGGTGTTGGGGTTCAGAGTGAGGCTGAAGTGAAGATCGTGCACTGCTTACTCTTTCTCAAAGCTTGGCATTGAAAGCAGGTCAAGAGAAAGTGGAATAAGCTTCCGCATGTAACCAGATAGCAGCTGAATTTGAATAAGTCCTAAGCAGAATCTGCCAGTTGGGAGCTGCGTTTTTCCTGCCCTATGATTTTTCAACTAGAGGAGGCATGAAACTGCTTAACAGTTTCAGGCACTCCTAGCTGAGGCTGGAATTAAAGCCCCTTTTTATGCCCTGCCTGCTTCAGCTGGAACCTGGAGCTCTCCTTACTGGCTGTGTGCATATTAGGTGCTGAGGTGGTGGCAAGAATGAGTCTGAGTTGATTCTGCCCAAGAAAGAAAAGAGCCACAGGCTTAGGAGGCTAGTAGGTGATCCCAACCCTAGTTCCTTTGATCCCTAACCACCTCCCCCGCCTGACACGGGGCCTCAGCACATACTAGAAAACCCAAGAACTTCTTAGAAAAACTAAGAAGTGTATTTGCCCAGATGAATGTGCATCAAGATGAGAAAGCGCATTTCCTCCTTGATCCTGTAACACTTATTTCTCCCTCCCCACAAGGTGGATGCTCGGAACATCGATGGTAGTACCCCGCTCTGCGATGCTTGTGCCTCTGGCAGCATCGAGTGTGTGAAGCTATTGCTCTCCTACGGGGCCAAGGTCAACCCACCCCTGTACACAGCCTCCCCACTGCACGAAGCCTGCATGAGCGGTAAGTCAGGTGGAAGGGAGCTACCTGGATAGGAAGTGGGAGCCATTGGCTGGCCCAGGAGAGCTGCTGATATCTGGCTATTCGTTGTTCCACCAAGGAAATGCTCACATTTCCTTCTGGAGATATAGTCCTCACCCAGGAGTAAGGGGCTGTTGTTTCCATGATAGGATTCTATTTCTTAGCAGATGCTCAGTGCCTCTCAGACACTAACACTGGAGATGGGTCTACTCTGCAGTCTCTCTCTCAGTCTTTGCTGTGATGTTGCCTTGTGAGCACCTGATCTAGTTAGGAGATGAGACCCAGACAACATCTCTGAGGACAGGTACTCTTAGAGGAGGGGAAGCTGGTCCTTCAGGCTCAGGGAGCAGGTGGGATTTCAACTGCTCCCCAAGAATGGATGGACTTCAGTTGGTGGGAGGATAAGAGGAAGGCTGTGCACAGGAAAAATGACATTGAGTCCCATTGAATCAGAAGCTCTCAACAGACAAGCAACAACAAATAAGACTGGAAATTTAGGGCAAGGCCAGCTGATGGAAAATTTTTAAATGACAGACTAAAGATTTTGGATTCCACTCTTGAGCAAAGGTTGCAAACTTGTAGCCTATATTTTGATTGACCAGTACAGTGTCTATTTTTGTTGTATTTCATTGGGGTGTGTGGTGTGTCCTCCTCTGTGTCTTCATGCAGGGACACTGTTGTCTGCTGCCTCACACCCAATTCCCATAGCTAGGTCCCCTTTCATCATTCTCAGGCACTAGGGATTACTATAGGCAGCTCTTGAAGGTTTCAGAGCAGATGTTGAATGACTGGGAAAACAGCATTTTTGAAAGGTTAGTTTAGTGGCCATCCATATACAGTGTAGAGGAGGACAAACTTTTCCTTTATCTATCTTAGATTCACTGGCTGGGCCCCACCAATTAGGTGACAGGGAACTGATTAACAAGAGAAAACAGAAGTTTGTTAATGTGAGTAGTGCATTGTGGAGAGGCATGGGAGAACTCGGCAAGGTGTCACGTAAAGGGATGGTTAAAGCTTGGGCTCATATAAAACAACTAGAGGCCCGGTGTACGACATTCGTGCATGATGGGGGGGGTCCCTCAGCCCAGCCTGTGCCCTCTCACAGTCCGGGACCCCTCGGGGGATGTCTGCCTGCTGGCTTAGGCCCACTCCCTGGACATCCCCTGAGGGGTCCTTAGCACTGCTGCAGAGGCAGGAGAGGCTCCCTCCACTGCTGCTGCACTTGCCAGCTGTGAGCTTGGCTTCTGGCTGAGCAGCCCTCCCCCTGTAGGAGCGCACTGACCACCAAGGGGCAGCTCCTGCATTGAGCATCTGCCCCCTGGTGGTCAGTGTGCATTATAGTGACCGGTTGTTTCGACATTCTGTCAATTTGCATATTAGGGTTTTATTATATAGGATCAATTTTTAGGAAAATGACAAGACAAAGGAAAAGGACTTTGAGCTTCTAGGATGTCAGGTTGTGGGGAGGCAAATAAATGGAGGAACTAATGGTAGATGAGGCTAGTTTTAGCAACTCCAACTAGAGTTGTCTCTGGTGACTATCTTTTGTCCTTCCTGGTAGATAGGGGAAGGAGACACCTTTACAAATATATATCCTTATTTTAGGCAATTTGGGGGAGGGAAGAGAGCTTTTATTCTATCTGTTTCTTCTCAATTGTCATAAACTCAAAATAAACATTATGCCAAAGACATATTTTGGGTCACCCTTCAGTAGACTGAAATGGTGGTGGTGGTAAGGGATATCCTGGGAGTGAAGAGATGAGTTGGGAGCTATCACAGTGATCCAAGTGCAAAACTCTTAGAGTCCAAGTGGATGGATTCATTTAGAAAACAGAAGAATTAATGGGCTTGATATAAGGGAGAGGAAAGCATGGGGTCATAACCTATTCAAGGTTGAGTAGGGAGTAATGGCTGAGATAGAATGGCCGGGAGGATGTGCCCCTAGGGAGGGGTGAGAGAGGGCCTGGTAGTGATAAGACATCCAAACAAGAATGGCCAGCAGACAGCTGTAGATGAGGGGCTAGGTTTTAGGACTAGAGGTGGAAACTCGGTAGCTACTAACAGGTGGTGTGATCAAGAGATGGGAGAGGATGAAATCTTGTTCATGATGAACCTTGACCCTAACCCATGTTAAAGATACCTGGAGAGGAGCCAAGGGAAGAGGCAGGGAAGGTGTCCTTGAGCTGGGAACCCCTGGTAAGAAAGTTTAGGTAGCTCACTGAGGAGGCTTGGACTGGGGATGCCAGCAACTTTATGTCAACAGCTTGAGAGGCAGCCCTGAAGGGGGAGCACTTTCTCTCCCACTGGGGAACTGGGGAGCAGTGAAGAGAGTCTTCTCTGGCTGTTCTGAAGTGGTATTTCCCAAACTTTCTGTTTTCCCAGCAACAGGGCCAGCTGTGCACTCCATGTCTGCTGCAGCCAGGCAGGTTTGGGGAACTGTTGTGCCTTCAGGAGAAAGGACAACTATCCACTTGCTCTAGGGCCACATGGGGTCATGAACTGCTCTTAGCTTGTGATGTAAACCTGATTCTCCTCTCTGCCCCTGCAAGCATGGGGCTTACCTGTTCTAGCCATCAGTTCTGTCATGCTTATTATTTCTAATGTATATATTAGTGATATTCAACCAGCGTGCCCTAAGAATTTTTAAAACATGAAATACCTGACTATTTAGTCAAGGGCACTGACCTCTTTTCCTTTAGATCATCAAATAAAAAAAATGACAACAGCCAACACAACAAAGTCATCTGGAATGAATGCGCTGTCATTGAAACATATAGATCATAGAATAGAGTTGCATTTTATTGGTCACATTACATAATAAGGTTGTGTCTGATTGGTTAATTCTTGGCACCAGAAATCCTTATATACATGTGCAGGCACCTGCTTTTTTAAAAAGTCACTTTGCTCTGGCCAAATGGCTCAGTTGGTTGGAGCATCTTCCCGTACATCAAAAAGGTTGTGGGTTTGATCCCTTGTCAGAGCACATATGGGAGGCAGTTGGTTGATATTTCTCTCTCACATCAATGTTTCTGTCTGTCTCTCCCTTCCTCTCTCTTAAAAAAAATAATAAAAACATATCCTTGGGTGAGGATTTTTTTTTTTAAAAAAAGTCACTTTGGAGCAAAAACTAGGTAATTTCTATTATATATTTTTGTAAATCAATAAAAATTATACCTATTTTTTGGCAGATTGGCAAAAAATATAATTTATTTTTTGGTGTGCCCCAGAATTTTAGTTATTAGTTTACGTGTGCCATGAGATGAAAAAAGCTGAAAATCGCTGGTATATACTATATATTCATTGACAGTTTTAATTGTTTTCCATTTCTCTTAAGGAAGTTCCGAATGTGTGAGGCTTCTAATTGATGTTGGGGCCAATTTAGAAGCACACGATTGCCATTTTGGGACCCCTCTGCACGTTGCTTGTGCCCGGGAGCATCTGGACTGTGTCAAAGTGCTGCTCAATGCAGGTACGTTGGTGTTTCTACCTGCTCTGTTCAATGCATCTGCTCTGCTCAAAGCAGGTGTGTTGGTGTTTACCTGAGCTGTTCCATGCAGGTTTGTTGTGTTTATGTGCACAATGTGCCAACTGAGAGCTAAATGGTGGAGTCAGCTAAGGTTTGAAACTAGTTCTCTCACTGGCCAGCTGAGAAGTTTGGCCTCAGTTCTATATTTATAAAACAGGAAATAGAAAACCTATTTTGTGGGCTTCTTAGGATGATTTGTTTCCACAATACCTGGTGCATCGTAGTGCTCAACAAGTGCTAATAATTATTTTTAGTGGCTACAGGGAACCACCCACAAGACCTGTCTAATCAAGTTGCTATCTAAACCAAAAAGAGATGGGGATCCAATGGAAAATGGGGTTGGCAGCTTTTGGAATCCAGGTTATTGTCAGGTGTTCTAAAAATACTCAGGATACTCTGGTAAACATGGTACAATAGATAAACACTGTACTCACCTCCTCCAACGACCACCTCAAAATCATAACCAAATTATGGAACCCATCATCATTGAGAACTCCCTGAAGATTAGATGAACAGAAGTCCTGTAACTAAGGATGTACAGAAGAAACTACATCAAACTGTGTTTTGGTGGCAGGAAGGGTACCAGGTGTTAGTCCAGTGGGGATGGACCAGACCTGGGTTTCAGCAACCTCAGTAGTACTTGAGGTGTGACCAGGAAAGAATTCAGAGCCAAGACTCTTATGTATATAAGAGAACATCTATATATATAAAAGCCTAATATGCAAATTGTCCCCTCGGGAGTTTGACCAGGAGACCAGGAGTTCGATTGCTCGCTATGACATGCACTGACCACCAAGGAGAGGCATGGAATGAAGGAAGGCCCTTGCTGACAGCCGGTAGCTGGGGAAGGGAGGCCCCAGCCGGCAGCTGGAAGGCCCTGATGGGCCATGATCACTGGCCAGGCCTAGGGACCCTACCCATACATGAATTTTGTGCACTGGGCCTTTAGTTAATTTATAAAATCACAGAGGTAGAAGAAGTAATTTGTAGAAGAAGTGGACTGAGGAAACAAATTATAGAGGCAAAGGAATGGCCCTAGGAGCTTGGGAGTGACGAAGGCAGTGGTAATGTGCTTGGGGAGAATGGGAGGGAGAAAGGGAAGGGAAAGGCACAGGCATGCTCCCAGGAGGGAGAATGTGTTGGGTCCTCTGTCCTAAGGGTTTTAAAGGTGGAGATTTTAGGGAAGGTCCCAGGGGAAGATCTGAATAAAATATTCAGCAGCTTCCCAGGTGTGTCCTTTCAGGGACTCCACTGATTGAATTGATTGGCACCAGGGCAGGGAATCATTATCCAATGCAGCTGATCCTGAGGTCAGCTGTGGGGTTGCTTATCTGATTTTGCTGCTTCTGGGCCTGGAGCTAAAATATAACTGAGGCACAGATGCTATCTCTAGGGAGGAAAGGCCAGATGGTCCAAACTGCATAACCACTGAGTCTTATTAACTTTTAGGTGCCACTTTTAAGTCTTTTCAGTGAAGAAGATTAATTTTGTGTAAGGCTGGTCATGGTGGCAGTTTTTATTGTTTATACAATAACATATTTAGATTAGAAACAGTCATAGTCTTCCAGCTAAGCCACTGATCAGATGGTTGGATCCCACTTCTATCAGTCTAGGGCAGGGGTGGGCAAACTTTTTGACTCGAGGGCCACAATGGGTTCTTAAACTGGACCAGAGGGCCGGAACAAAAGCATGGATGGAGTGTTTGTGTGAACTAATATAAATTCAAAGTAAACATCATTACATAAAAGGGTATGGTCTTTTTTTTTTTTTAGTTTTATTCATTTCAAATGGGCCGGATCCGGCCCGCGGGCCATAGTTTGCCCACGGCTGCTCTAGGGTATCTATGTATCATTACTGTTGAGATTTTAAAGATTTTACAGTGCAACTATCCTCAGCTTTTAAAATAAAGGTTTGATGGTGCACCAACCCTCTGCAATCCCATTTTACTTTGCAATCAGGATTTTGATAATGAGCAGAGTGCCTGGTATATATGTGCTCAGTATATCTTCATTCATGATTTTAGTCCCTTTTTTACCAGAAGGAGAAAAAAGAGAACAAGGGATTTAAAACCTATTTGAAGTAGTGGCTATAGGACCGTGGACAGCAAACTGCGGCTTGAGAGCCACATGTGTCTCTTTGGCCCCTTGAGTGTGGCTCTTCCTAAGCCTTAGGAGCACCCTAATCTATATATATAAAAGCCTAAACGACCATCCAGTAGCTATGACATGCACTGACTACCGGGGGCAAATGCTCAATGCAGGAGCAGAAATCACAGGAATGGAAACATGAAACAGACTGTTAAATCTCAGAGGGAAGTGGGGAGGGCGGGAGAAGATTAACCAAAGATCTTATATGCATACTAGGGGCCCAGTGCAAGGATTTGTGTACTGGTGGGGTCCTTCGGCCTGGATTGCGGGTATCAGGCTGAAACTGGCTCTCTGACATTCCCCAAGGGGTCCCGAATTTCGAGAGGGTGCAGGTCAGGCCAAGGGACCCCACTGGTGCACAAATCTGTGCACCGGGCCTCTAGTTAAGTTAATAATAATGTACCTACCTATATAGTTTAAGTTTAAAAAATTTGGCTCTCAAAAGAAATTTCAATCGTTGTACTGTTGATATTTGGCTCTGTTAACTAATGAGTTTGCCAAACTGCTAAAGGAGAAAGGATCAAATTAGTAGTTCTAATCCCAACATCCTCTCTGCAATAGTTAGGACTTTAGAGAAGTGATTTCTCCTTCATAACTAATAGGAGACCAACTCCACATGGATGAGGGGCTTTATTTCTTGGTTGGGGTAACTGAAAGGATCAGAACTAGAGACAGTTTCAGGGTCTGTTTGACTCAGGGTTTCAAGCATGTCATCAATTTTCTTTGAATTTTATGATTCTGCTTTCCTCAGTGTTCACTTGACCATACTTCTGGCGTCCCCAGTGGGATAGGATGGCTACAGCAGAATTGGGCTGAAATCTGAATGCTTCACTTCATGAGGCTTCTGGTAGCTTTCTCAGAGGAGTGAAAACTCTCCCAGATGTCTCCTGCACACCTCCCCTTATGTTCCATCAACCTGAATTGAGTCCAGGGTCCAAACCTTTTCCAGTTCCTTTGGCTTGACTCTGCAAATTCCAATTGACTTGGGTCTAGGTGGGAACAGGGAGGAGCCCAATCAGGGCCCACAGGGAGCTGGAGGTTAGGTCATCCTGCTCACTCCCACCCCAGGACTGCACCCCCTACTGCAGGGTGGCAGTTTAGTGGGGGTGGGGTTGGATAAAAGTAGAAAGGGGACCATAATGGCCTGAAGCAGGGGACTTGGTAATTTTTAAAAGGAGTTTCCATACACCTGGGAGCTTGAGTGAGGGATGAACAGAATTCTCCTGGGACAGCTTGCAGTTGTTGACTGCCACTGTGCTGTCAGCTCTAGACTCAGTCCTTGCTATTTTCATCTCAGATGCTCTCCTGTACATCCTTCTTAGACCACATGCAGTCTTTTACTTATTTAACAAAACTAGTATTTAACTACCAGAGGCCTGGTGCACAAATTCATGCACATTAAAAGGAAATTAATTAGAAGAAATATTTTAATATCGCTATTTGCCCTTTCTCTATAATAGAAGTGTCAATCAAATTCACGATGGACAAAACACATGCATGCAATTGGCACAGTGAGAGCTTTATATATAGATAAACTTGCTTAATTAGACCTGCTTTCTGATTTAGCTAAACGTTTCCAGCCCAGTGAAGCACCCCAACTTCTCTTTCAGGTAATTGTCAGCAACACAGCAGTAAATATCAACATGGTGCAGATTATTATTATAGATCATGCAGGGACAACAAAGGGTGAAATATTTAACTGTAGCAGTGTTTGACTATATTCTGCGCAGTGAGAAAACCTGAAGTCATTTTCAAGGTCCACCATTTCTTACTTTTTTTCAGTTGGGTCAAGTTTCTAAACTTTCTAGATCTCCATTTTCTGGCTAATGAAAGAAAATAGGATTCTACCAAGTCTCCTATCTACCTACTCCAGGACTTCTGTGAGGATCAAATGAGATGAGGCATGTGAAAACGCCTCACAGACATTTGGTTAAAGTGTAAAATGTTTGCACCTGGCTATAAAGCAAGTTGTGTTCCTGGGCTGAAGAAACACCAAGGAGGCTAGTCGCTGGGGAGAGGAAGCCGGGCGTGCTATGTGACGTCATTACCTGGTGCCCATGGACACCGTTTCTGGTCTGGTCTGATCTGTGGGCCGCATTTTGTGCCACGGGGGTCTTGGCAGTGTTGGCTGTGATTTGGTGGGGTGTTGCTCCAGGGTGGTGGCGGGGCCTGTGTCCCACTTGGGGGAAGTCGAGAGTTGCTTTGTTGGTGCCAAGTCCCTGGTGCCATTTCTCTGTAAATGGCCAGTGTGCGAGCATCTGCCCCCTGGTAGTCAGTGTGCATCATAGCATTTGGTTGGATGGTCAGAGGGACATTTAGCATATTAGCCTTTTATATATAGATAGATGGAAAATCTCACACATACAAAAAAGTAGAGAGAAGAGGACAGCATATGGATTCTTTTCAAGGTAGTGATTCTTAACTTTGTGGGAGGCTGGTCACAGACCCCTTGGAAGATAAAATGATTTTCTGACCATGCCTCTAGAAACATAAGCATTTGGGCACTTTTGCACTGACTGTATGAAAGGGTTTGGCCCTGCTTGAGGAGCTAAGCTGGGCGGGGCGGGGGGGGGGGGCATATGTGCCTCAGGGGTGTATAGGAGGCTGTTGATAATTTGTGGGAAGCGAAGCCATGTTGCTGAATTGCAGATGATTTTTGCAGAGGAGGAGGGCTGGGGAAGGGGAAAGTCCAGTTATTACTGTGTGTAATTTTTAATCTGACAACTGGCAGTAAATATTTAACTCTGCTGGAGGTACTGAGAGGAGCTAATTGAGCAGAGTTTGCTTGTACCTTCC